ATCTTACCTTTGAACACAATGCAAAGCCTTCAAGCTCCAGTGGTAGAAATCCTTCTTTGACTGCTCTCTCACTCTCTCCTTTACTCTTCTTCCAATAGGTATGAAGATCAATGAGCAAAAAGATGGGTGGCAGTCTAATTTGAACTATATATACAAAAGATAAGAAAAACTACCCAAAGACTGCAAGTTTTCAATTCTGTACGCAGTGGATCGTCCCGTACGATCATGGATCATCCTGGACAATTTTACTTAAATTGTCGGAAACGATCCTAATGTATATTGTACGAACTATGTTCGTACTCGCTCATCGTCCCGTACAAACTAGGTTCGTCCGGTACGAAATGGTTATTACATATGTCGGTTCCCAAAATTCTACAGGACGTGACCAACTGACGTAAGTAGGTTCAGTTTGTCCTGGGACGATGTTATACAGAGAGTTTTGTCCAGGGACAAAAATTAAATTCATCCTATACGATGTCATACAGAGAGTTTCGTCTAGAGACGAAGGTTCATTTCGTCCTGTATGATCTCATACAGAGAGCTTTGTCCAGGGATGAAAATTTATTTCATCCTGTATGATTTCATATAGAGAGCTTCGTCCAGGTATAAACCATATTTTTCGTCTGGACAAACAGTGCAAGGTGAGAATCCCGAGAGGTTCATCCCGGGACGAATATAAAATTCATCCTTGACAATTAGGACTTAGAAAATTTTCTCCCTGCCTATTCGATCCATTGCTCGTCTGAGGGGTTAATTGACATGATCGTCCCGTACGAACCAGGTTCATCCCGTACGATCAGTTCACAAAAATTATCCCCTAAGAGTGTGTCTTGTAATTTTTCACTCAATTACAATCACTCTCCCTCTCATTTCAAAACTTATAATATACAAATGAATAATTTGAAGTCTTCATCGCTTGGAGTTGATTTTCCTGAAAGGTTAGTACACACTAGAGTAAAAACAAATCTTCCAAAAAAGTGTTACGAGATATTTAAAACAATAATATTTGAAATCATCAAAATAATACAAGTTGCAAGAATGTAAAACTTGCAAATAGAAACTCTCTCTACAATCTCCCCATTTTTTATGATGGCAAAACAATTATTATTTGTAGGATTTCAAGTTCTAAGAATCTCCTAAACTCCCCCTCAATTGATGAACTCATGAAAATAAGGAGGCATTTGAATTACTTAAAAAGTTTTGTTTTTCAAAAAATTTTATACAACACAAAACAACACAAAACAACACAAAAGACAAAACAATAAAAACAAATAAAAATAAAAATAAAAACAAACACACATACGAAAATCAAACACTACGAAAATCAAAAACTACGAAAATATACGCAACAAACAATTTCTCCCCCTGTTTGACAACATCAAAAAGTGAAGAAGAAAATAATGTTAGAAATGTAAGCAGAAGTATGAAATTCATTTATTATTTTAATCTTGAAAGTGATTGAAATAAGGTATGCAAATAAAATCAAAACATTAGAAAAACATAAGATTTTATATAATTTAAGAAGTGATATAACATAGAGAATAGAAAGAATTTATCCAAGGAATGTGTCAATTTAGACATGAAGATAAAGAAAATCATTGCACTAAGGATGAATAAAAAATTTTATATTTCAAATTTCAATATAAATTATAAATGAACATTAGATCAATTTGAATTAAGAGATTAAAAGAGTCTGGAAAGAAGTAATTACCACATGTGGCACTTTGCGCATCTTTTTCAATTTTTATGGCACATTTTTGTGGAAAGATATTGTTAAATCTCAACCTTACGATCCCGAAGACATCCACGGCTGTGAACAGTAATCCGTGGGAGGACTACAAGGATTGCATTAATTCCTCCCATTGATTTAGGAATAATTATATTCATATTATTATAAGAGTTATTTGTTTCCTTATTGATATACCTTGTATAGATCTATAAATAGGGAGTAGATTGCTTAATAAAATTCAAGCTTTTCCCTCTCAAATTCTCTGTTTTCACAATATTCACCCCTAAAACTCATAGTTTTTAAAACACTCTTTTCTTTCAATTCCAAAATTAGAAAATAAAATGTTCAATTAAAATTGTATTTATTTCAACCCAATTTACGCAAAAAAACAAAAATTTGTTAGTGAAAGAAAAAACATACAATTTCCCAAAGTCATAGGATCTCTTGTATTTCATTAACCCCAAAGCGATTGAAACAATATTCTTCACTTGGTTGGACCATCCAAAACCAAATGAATGAATATAACCTTTAATCTAGATCCAAATTATAGTTTCCATATCTTAGCCAAAATAAGTAACTTAATCAAAATTAAAATATAAGAGTAGACGCATAAACATACCCTAAACTCAATCATAATGTGTTAATTCAGAAAGATCGGAGAAGAAAAAGGCTTAATTTTATTACACAAAACTAGTCCTATTTGTAGATCTATAAAAGACATCTTAATAAAGAAACTATGAAATCATGCATAATTGCCTTAATATAATCCTTCATAAATCAACCGCCCGAATATGTAAAGAGATCGGCATGATCCAGGTGAACTTCCCACGAATCCCCATCCTAGCCGTAGGATTAAGAGAGAAGAGATGGCTAGGATGGTTGGGATGGTATTTAACACTCCCCCTCAAGCTAGAGAATACAGATCTGGCATTCCTAGCTTGGTAATCAGTCCCAAAAAGGTAGAGTTATATTAAGCAGGGCAACAAATAAGACTGCATTGGTTATAGATAAGATAACTCCAATAAAGGAAGGTCGTCAATGAAGGTATGATAGTAGAAAAAAAAAGTTTTTTGGGTGGTCAAGCTTCAAGGACAACAACAAGAAAACACATCTTAAGTGGCTCAGCCCTCGGCACGCAAATCTCCTCCCGTTTGATCGAGTTAGCCTTCGACCCAATGCAAATCAGTTGCCCAACCCCACCTGAACAGACTCCTGTTTGATCAGCCCCTTACAAAGCGCACATAAGGCCTCTAATCCTTCTAGTCTGATCTGAGGAAGAACAACAGATCTCGCACTCCTGCATGTCCCGACCCTAGAACAGCACGAGAGGGAACTCTTGGCTCTTTTCAAATGCACGTAGGAGCCTTTCGCTCGGCTCTGCCCCAAAGGAAGGCAAGAGTTCTCCCGCTCGATCTTGGACGCACGAAGGAAATAAGACCAGTATTGATCAAAATTCCGACGATGAAGGCTGGTGGTAGGAACCAGTATTCCTCAAAATTCCAACAATAAAGGCCGGTGGGGGGAGTCAATATTTCTTAAAAATTTGGCAACGAAGGTGGGTGGTGGGAACCTGTGTTCCTCAGAATTCCAACAATGAAGGCCGGTGATGAGAACTTGTATACCTCTGAATTTTGGCAATGAAGGCCGCTGGTGGAACCTGCAGAACTCGTAAGCACTAGCTTCTTCAAATCAGGATAAAGTTTTAATCTCTCTGTAACCTCACCATTGATATCCACAATAAACTCCCAACTTAGGGAAGTAGCGTACTACATCATCGGCATGCTCACCAACTCTTCGGTCACCATAAACACGCACTGGACCGTAGCAATGAACTAACTTACCACCAAAAAAGACATCTTCATCCCCATTTTGTGCATCATCTGGGCAACTAGACGTACAATGATCAGTCCATCAGCGAGCTTCGAATCCAGCGAATCAACTTTAGTCTAAATGCGACCAGCAAGGTTCTCAATGATGATTCTGTCAAAGACAACGAAGAAGGAGAGAACATTTGATATGAGGGATTGATGGTGAAGATCTTGAAAGAGGTCAACCTCTTCTAATGTCCAGAAAGAGGCTTCGGACCTCTTGAACATATCCCATATTTGAGGGTAGCAGATCGAGAACATGCAGAAGTAGTCAGGATTAGGGGCATGGACACACACAAGTAGGAACAAAATGAAAGAACTAGCTCTCCCTCTCGCTCCTGTTTTTGAAGAACCGAGTGCCTTGCTTTGATACCATGTTAAATTCAAAGAATTGGAGAGGGAAAAAACTTAATTTTACTACACAAAACTACCCTATTTATAGATCTATACAAGATATCTTAATAAAGAAACTATGAAATCATGCATAATTGCCCAAATATAATCCTTCCAAAAATAGCCACCCGAATATGGAAGGAGATCAGTGTGATCCAGGTGAGTCCACCAAGGATCCCCATCTTGGCCAAAGGATCAAGAACAAAGGGATAGCTAGGAAGGTTGGCATGCATGTTATTTAAAATTCCCCCTCAAGCTAGGGAATACAAATTTGTCATTCCCAGTTTGATAATCAGTACAAAAAAGATAGAGCTATATTAAGAAGTGAAGCAATGAAGGCTATATTGGTTATAGATAGGATAACTCCAATAAGAGAAGGCTGACAATGAAGGCGCGGTAGTAGAAAGAAAAAAAAAAAATTATTTTTAGGATTGTGGCAAGCTTCAGGGACAACCGCAGAAAAAAGATGTCTCAAGAGGCTCAACACAAGGTAGCATGACCAAACGAGGCCTAAAAGTCTGAGTCAGGGCCAAATTTTACTTCAAGTAGACAAGAAAATGTCAGCCTAATTTTGTTGCAAAGGGCAAAAGCGAGCATGAATTTTGTGCTGTCTGTCAAATACAATTCCACACGTAAAAAATATCTGCATATGGCTATTAGCATCAGATAAGAGTAACTTCAAGCCTTCAATCACAACATGACGAAAGTTTACTATCCAGAAAGCATTCAATAATCCAATATGTAGAAAGGGAAGGTAGCTATAAAGCCATAAATCATATTCTTAAGTTCTATTCCTGCTGTTTTGTGTTGTGCACAACACATGGAAATGTATTCATACGCACAGTTAATAAGGGGTTAAGTACGCCGTTCATAAATTAAAACTGAATAAAGTAAACTTCAGAGAAGAGTTAATATTACTTATCACGCCTCACCATCGATGCTGAAGAAACTGTTCCGACAAAGGGAAACAGCTTCCAGTAACATGCAAATTTATCAGTTTGTCAAAGCCTTAGATGTCCTATGAATTATGATAAATATGTAAAAAAAATATCTACTAAAAAAACTAGTACGGGATAACTTGACCAATTAAGAAACAAGAATACAGCAATTTGATCAGACAAAAAAGAGAAATTACCTGAAATCCTCTGGCCAACAAAGACTGAAAACCATGCTATTATCAGGGAAAAAAAACATACCTTCAACTTAGAAATGATTCCTTCAAGTTCTTTGCACCGCCTTTTTTCATATTCAAAAGCAGATCTCATTTCCTCAAAGTTGGTTATTTGATCTTCATACAAATAATCAGAGAAACATTCCCCATTAAGCCTTCCTCTAGAACAACCATTTGTTATTGAAGAACGTTTTCTTAATAGTTCCGGTTCACCAAACCACACAGACAGGGATTCATCAGAAACCATACCACTTTTCTTAAGTTTAGCGACAAGTACCCACATGCTTGCGAGTTCATTTTCTAAATCTTGTTCGTGTTGTTTGGATTCATCAATACTTTTTTGTAGTTCACATTCTCTTTCCTGTTTAAGAGACAACTCAGCCTCTAGTGAAGATTCTCTCTCACATCTTCTTAGTAGCTCTTTTCTCAACTCCTCAACGAGAACACTGTCTTCTGAATTCTTAAAGTAATCATCAGCATCCTTCCCATCAAGCAAGACATGCATCTGGGAGTTATTAACTCCACCAGTAGCTTTTTCCATAGAGGAAGCCAAGTTATCATTCAATTTTGCATTTTCATAAGAAAGTTTTGTAACCTCTTCAGCTAAGTTTCTAAGCTCAACTGCTGCAGCTGCAGCCAATTCTCGGGCATAAGAAGCTTCCTCAGCCAGCTTTTGAGAATGAATTTGAAGACCATCCTTTTCTTCAGCTAATCTTAAACTTTTTTGCTTCAGATTCTCAATCTCAGCAGCCTCAAGTGAATTATAGAATCTTAGTCAATAAATAACAGAAACTAAAGACGATGTTTATAGATTCTCAAAGAAGAGCAATCATTATTACCTGCATGAGAACCTGGGTCCTCAAGGATAGCTCACTACTACATCCCTTAGATTCGTCATTTGTGGATATTGAAAAATGTTTCGTTGGAGAAGATTCAGTTAACAAGGATATCCCTTCTGCCTCATTTCCTAAATAAGTGTTTACCAACGTGTTATTACATAGGCTATATCCGTCTTCTTTGGTTTTACCTATAAAATAGTTGAGCTGCTCATTTAGTGTTTTAATAGTTTCCTCAAGCTTGGCATTATCAGACATCTGATACAAATTCAAAAATGGCATTAGGAAGATGAATTCAAGTAAATCTCCACCAATAACAAATTCATATGATATTATCTGTTGGCACCTTCATCTGCAGCTGGTCTTGAAGAATTCTATTATCAGCAGACATAATCTACACAAGACATGTTAAGGTCAATAGACATTAAAATAAGTTTGAGGACGAAAGCAATGCCTATAGCAGACATCATAGGGAAACAAACCTCAAGCTCAAATTCCTTCTCACTCAACTGAGTGGCCAGCTTTGAAAGATTCTACAAAATGGTAAATGATGTTAAATTGATAACAATACAAATTCAATGCTCATATTTGTAAAACCTTTACAAGGTATTTTAAATAAAGATTGAGCATGAAAGAGAAGTCATATCCAGGAAAATAAGGATGGAACGAAACTAAAATGAATGCACGTAATAATACAAGTAAAACATGTATCGCATGGATTATGGCCTAATTTGAAACAGTGCGCTGAGATATTTAAGATTGTTGAAGCATTGAACCTGTGATACTTTAATACTATTTGAAGAATGCGGAGAATCATCAAGAGATCCAATCATTCTCTGCTCAAGAACATGCAGCAAGATCTTCTTTTCATTTGTTTCATCTCTTAACTTCTGCATTTGCTCCTGCATGAAATGACGCAAATAAATAAATTCCACAAATCATGAATATCTTTCACATCAGAATAGTATTGGTTTGAAGAATATAAATAGAGTGACAGTAATTAACAAGCTATAACCACTGGACGTGTAGCCCAGTAGTAATGCTTTTTTACTTCGAAGTGGAGGTTTAGGTCCAACTACTGCAATAAAACATAAATAAATAATAAGTTAACACTATATACAAATTCTTTCTACAACCTCAAAAATTTTAAAGTAGAATGCTTGCACATTTATTCCCGAATATATTTGGAAAATGAACAAACTGGGGAAAACTAACTTTAAAAAAAAAATTACATGGTTGGCAAAAGAATGAATTTAACTCTAACGAAAAAACAGGCACATTCGACAACAATTGGATTTTACAAGAAAAATGTGACAAACCAAAGCCTATCAAGGTGGCATTGGAAGCCAAGAGGAAGATTCCCCGCAATGGACAAACGTTATGTACAGAATATATGTTCAAGCCCCATTATGGGAAATTAAAAAAAAGTTTTAAAGAACAAGACAGCTGCAAGTATATGGCATATTAGCAGCAAAAAAACAAAAAACAAAATTTAATCAGTTAGACATCACAAATCTACCTAGAGTACGCCTGGTCCGGATGTCTAAATTCTCAATAACATCTAATTATCATGTTTCCGGTCGGTAAGACAAGGGTCAAGGTGGTTTCAGAAATTTAACATTTAAAGATAGTTTTATATTAACAGACTAGCAGTATCTTAAAAAAAAAAAAAAAAAAAAAGATGACCGATATGGCTTCACCAACAAAACACAATAAAACGGCTACAAAGATTTACAAGCATATGTTAATTAAACAATTTCATAAAGAATACAATGATCATTATCTGCTTTATAATTGTAAAATATAGCACAATCTTAAACAACTATGATGGTTGCATCACCTAGAAAAAATGCACATACCAAAGTAGAAAATAAAGTGAGATTTGAGCATGTGTAAGTCGTGAACAAAAAAAAAGACAATTTGTCCAAAAACAAAGTAGAGTACGCCCATTTTGGCCCCAAACTTCTCGAATTTGGTCCCAATTTATCAAATTAGTAAAGTTGAGGTACTAAAATATTCACGTTTTGATAAGTTAAGCAAAATTGAAGAATAAGGAAAATCTGAGGCCAATATGAGCTCACCCCAAACAGTCTTGAGGACCAACTTTGTCGTTTTTTCAAAAGAGAAAATAAAATTATAAAAAGCTAATAGAAAACAAACAAAAAAATGCTTGAACAAGAAAAATAAAGTAGGGAATAGTATGAGTTTGCCAAGTTAATGTACAACAAAACAGAAATCATATAACTTCAGAGTAAGTTTTAATGTAATGCAGGAACAGCTGTCAAGATTCACAAATATTTATATTCTTAACCTCATATGATATGGTTGAAGAAGACGATTAACAAAGGCAGTTTTGTTGTTGCGAAAAAATAGTTTGCTCAACATTGAGCGAAAGAAAAGCAAATTCTAAAAGAAAGTAAAAAAAGTAAAAAAGTAAAAAAAATAAAAAAAGCAGTTCGCATGCCTGGATATTTGAATCTTCAGGGTTATTGGAAGCTTGCTCGGCTAATCTTTTTAAAGAACTTGTGCACAGTGCTACCTCCCCAGCTAGCATCTTTATCTGCTCACTGAGAAGATCCATTTCATCCATCATGGTTGCACCTGTCTGCAGAAAATGCAAATTGACTCAATTTTGTCATGTTAGTTATTAAGCAGAAACATGGAATTATTAATATGTTTGAATAGTAATCCAACAGATTCGAACTTGAAAAAGAAATGATAAATGTGAAAAAGTGAATCCGTATTTCACATTGCCCGCCCAAGAGAAGAAAATAATGATTGAAGTCAACCATTGCGATTTATAGAAGACGAAACCTCAGTCAGAAAAATAAATAAATAAAGAAGCACAAAATAGCAGTTTTATAAACAGTACATAATATTGAAAAAAAAGGGGGCATACCCAGTGTATGCGGACTCCCATCAATCTGTGACCAAGGGTTTGACATTACCAGTATCACCCTGACTCTTTCAATAGAGGTTGTTCCACGACCTGAACCTATGACCGCCAAATCAAAATAGTAGCAACATAATCATTGCTCCAAACAAGACCTCTTTAGACAACCACATTCTTTGAACTGTGTGGCTAAGGAGCATGAAGATAGACAAACAAACACAAACATGACACGACACAGATAGAACAACACAACATAATCCCAAAAAGTAGGAAGCAACATGCATGGACATAAAGTTATATTTAGTAAATTATTATTATAAAATATATATGAATTCAACTATAATAAGAGAATTTCCTTGATAAAAATGACATTGAAAAATACAAACATGAACTTTTTTAAACATGATTATAGTAAGGAAAAAACTATAGTCGAAGAATTTTTATGAAAAAAATGACATTGGCAAACACAAATAAAAAAAAATGAGTAAGAGTTCTAGTTAAATCCTACATTTAGTTAATGACTTAAAAGACGTCCAATTCGAAAGCCAGGCTATTGTCTGTCACAGTTTTTAAGTCACAGTAGAAGTCCAGCATCAATGCAAGTTCCTTGTTTGTTTTTCATATTTGAAGTCATCACCCGTCAAATCAAAGCGAAGCCTCGCACGTGTGTAGAAGTCGAATTAACGCACAAGGAAGTCATCACACTTCGAATTATTATGTTGAAGTTGGTGATGTCATAGCTGAGTTGCTTGATTTGCTCATCTTTTATCTCCCTTGCCCTCACAAGTATATAACAAAAGGAGGACGAGGTAGGGCACAAGAAAAAATTCTTACTTAAATTTCATTGTCCACCACCCCCATGATTGTATGTGACCTAGGCATGCTCTGGTTCAGCCAAAAGTAAATTTTACTCTTGAATGAACCTAACACAATTTGAAAGTGCTTGAGAGTAAAATTGTACTTCGCAGCATTTTACTATGTCAATTCTAAATAAGTAGAGGAACACGACCACTCTTTAAAACTTTTTACGTGCAATAGGTTGAACAACTTTGCTTTATCTAAAAGCCATTCATATGAACACACAATTGTTTGAGTTATATAAGGATCCAATATGGTAGTTCTTCAAGCAAATGCATTATCATTAGCGTTCATGTGCCTTTCATTTTAAGTTCATTATTGCTCACATTTTATCAGCTTGTGGGTGTGTTGCAGACCAGATTATGAGTGCCACGAGTTGAAATATCCTTTGTTTTCAAAGGAACAAAATTTATCACGAAAAAAATTAATTTTTTTCATTTTTTCATCTTTAAATCTAGTGTGCTCTTAAGTGGATTTAAGTCTTATAGAGAGTTCTTTAGTGTAGTAAAGAAGTTGAGTGCTCTCAAGTGAACTTTCAAGTTCATCACACATCAATTCTAAGTTCTTATTATGTGCTATATTCTAATTATTTCAGATTTTCTTGCATGACTTGTATATCATTTTTTATGTACTTTTAATGTCATATATTTCACTTTTTTTTAATTGTTTCCATTTAAAATCTTCATTTAATTCATGGTGTTATTTTTGCCGCAAGTATAGTCCAGAATATTTTTTATTTATTTTATTCATTCTAAGTTAGGTATAAGTTTGGTTCACTAAAGCTTTTGGCAGCATCCCGCCATCTCCTCAGTGTAGGAGACCTCTATGGGGAATATGAACCTATTCACCACACTAAGAAAAGCATGCAGGGTGGAGCAAACACCATGGCCAAGTCTTCCATCACTCACCATATCAAGAAAAGCATGTACGAGTAATCAAACATACATGAAAACTTTGCAAAGAGGATCTTCCCATCGTGCAAGGAAAGACATGCATGAGCACATTTTTTATCAGCAAAAGCCTTATTATTAATCGCGTTGAAAAAGGTGCATATAGGGTCTTCTACTTCCACCACACTAAGATGTGCATATATGGGTCACCTACACAAGAAATACACAATGCAATAAAATTTCCCCACCCATCGCGAAAAACATGTACGAGTACTTATATGGAAGTGCAAGCAAGCTTTGCATTTTACCTTGCGCAAACAGAGGATACGTGGGTTGACCGAGAGGAGCTACAGAGTCTAGATCCAGACCTCCTAGAGTGGTACGAGAGCTCAAGGGACACTCACTCGACAGGGTCGAGTGATGTAGGACGAGTAGGACGGCTTATGCTAGGGAGAGGATCTCTTCTCCAATATTCCAAGTCCTTCCACAAAAGCTGAAAATTTCTTTAAAGGAATCTGAAATATTTCAGATTTTTGTTTTCTCAAAAATATGAGAGGAATTCCAACTCTTAGTGTGGGGAGGAAAGACTTAGCAGCAAGATTTATGGAAAACCATCAACGTGGAGTAAAGGAAGATAAGAAAACTGAGAGGAGTGAGGCGGGTGACATGGAAAAGAGGCCAGCGGGATTGAGAAGGATTGGGGATCTTCTTTCCTAAATCCAATATCTAGTTTAGGAAATAAATTAAAGTCAAGGGATTACAGAAAATTTCAGCTAAGGCTGTTAAGCTGAGAAGAAAATTCCCATCCACGTCAAATTCCGGCAGCAATTTGGGGTGCAGGAAACTTATGAAACGGCTCAGTTTTTGGAAGGATTTTGGAGAAATAAAACAAGCAAAACAATTAAGGAGGACGCGGCTTAATTGTGGCTAGATTTTTGGAATTATTTCCAAGTCAGGAGACTGAAATAAGTGGGTAGAAGTGGACGGGACCACTTGGAGAATTGGCTCAAAGAAAGGCTTGATTTGTTTCCAAGAAAAGGAGGTAGCATTAGGAAACTAATTTGATTTTAATCCCATGAGGGGCTGGCGGGATTGAGGAGGGAATTTTATTTCCCAAATCAAATTCCTAGATTAAGAAATTAATTTCAGAAATATGAGAGAGGGAATTTCGGCTAAGTGGAATTGGGGAGATTTAAAATTATTTCCTAAAGCCAAGAGGGGAGATTAGGAAGTAATTAATAAAACAAGCCAATGGGGGCAAGGTTGGGCCGGCGGCATCCAAGGGGAGAGGGGAGGGAATTTGGTGATTTAAGGCTCTTAGATTTGAATTTAGGAGTTATAAAAGTGAGACAATAAATCAGATTTTGAATTTAAATTTCAATTGAATGGATTTAGTAACTTTCCAAAAATAGCATGATAAATTAGGAAAGAAATTTGAATTTCAAATTTTGAACAATTTGAATTTCAAATTAATTCCTAATATCATGCACACCTAATTAGGAAATCCAAGGAGAGAAAGGATGAGGCCGGCAGCTAGGGAGCCCTGGCCGGCAGTTTGTGGTGGATCTTCGGGTGAGGTGGCCGGCAGCTTTTGGTGGAAATGGGGACGACGATGGTGGACGGAGGTAGAGGATGACGCAACAAGAAGGAACCAAAGAAAAACAAAGATAGAAACGAAAGATAGAAAATAAAAACCGTGAGTCTTGGAATCTTCCGAAGACTGACGGGTGATGTTTTGCCCTTCTCCAAGGGACTTCAAATCACGAGCCCGGACCCATCCTGCGACTGATGAAAACTCCGATTTCTTCCCATAGGAATCTCACTGTCGTCCTCTCCAAAGAACACACATGTGAAAACAAATTTTTTTTATCAAATAATCCATCCCCATTACAATATCTTAAGGCCCTATATATAGGCCACAACATAAGAAAATTAAAAATTACAAAAATACCCGTTGGGCCACAACACTCACATAAGCTATCATAGGGATAAAACAGGAAATACATCAAATAAGAACTAAAATGTAGAAAATAACTCATAATTAAAAATTTAAATAATAGCCGTCGATTTACGACGCCTCCTGTGATAGATGCGCCAAATCTTCGTACCGATGTCCGCATCATTCTCCCCAGGTAGGAGAAGACTCGACTCCGTCGAGTTAGCATCACAACTGCCCATGTACAACTCCGGACGGTTATTTGGAAACATGGTTTCTTCCTCCGAAATGGGTAATAAACCCAATGGGCACTTTAGCTCACCAATTTCCTTAACCATAGTCAAGGGATCACCTTCCAAATTGTCGCACTTATGTTCGTCTGCATGAACTTGTTCACTCTCATATATGGCTTCACTAGCAATAGGAGTAATATGGAGTTCTATGGATATCACTTCCAGAGCTTCCTAAACCTTCTCTGTTATAGAAGTGTTAACTGGGTCAGGAGAAACCTTTGCTTCTGTAGGAGTTGTAATTGAACCAACCAAGTCTCTCTCTGCATGACCGAGTTTTCTCCCACCAGGGGAGAATGATGAGGACATCGACAGACACTACAGACATGTTTATTGACGAAGGAATCGCAGATCTACGGTCATGATTCAGCGCCTCTACTTTTGACTCATCTTTCATGATATGTTGTTTAGTTTGATCGTTTTTTTTCATTTTTACCACTCTGGGGAGTTGTCCTACTATTGTAGCCCGGAGGGAAATTTAGTACTTTTCATGTTGTTTAGTATTTTTCGTTTTTCGTTTTTACCCCTTTGGGGAGCTGTCATGTTATTGTAGCCCAGAGGGCAGTTTGGTACTTTTCTTTTGATGAGTGGAGACCTATATAGAGTGATCTCATATGTTGTAATTTCTTTGATGAATGACTAATGAAAATTTGATTTGCTTCTTCTTCTTCTTCTTCTTACATGAGAGCTAGAGAGAAGGGAGAGAGAGCTCGAGGTGAGCAAGCGCAAGACCCACCAGTCGTTGGAAGAGTCCACGGCTCGTGGTAACTTATTCTTCTATCTTTGTTTTTCCCTCATCCTCCTTCCCCTCACCACCCACCGTCTCCTTCCAAGCACATCCCCACCCGTGGCTTAATCCCTCACACCAATTCATCCACTAGCTTCCCCACTTCACGTCCAACCACCATCAAGGCCCACCTCAACCCGACGGCAAAACCTTCTCTTCCCTTTAGCCGCCGGCCATCCTCATGATCCAAGCCGTTATGATGATTTCAATCATCATAATGATTCCTTAATTTAGATCTAGCATTAAAGGAAGGAATTAGTGAGTTTTGAAATTCAATTTTTGAAATTAAAAAAACTTTCCTTATTTGTGAAATCTAAAAAAGGAAAGTTTCCAAATTTGAAATCCAATGAAA